GACCAGGTGTAAGATGACTTTCGCTGTTTAGTTATCTGGGAAACACTCCGAACTCATTCCTTCAGCCTTATTATTGCATGTTTTTTTGCCCATTATGGCAGCTACGTGGCTTTGCGTGTGCTTGTCCCCTTGCATTAGTGTCCAGTCGTGATGCTGGCCGACTTCCTGTTTTCCGTGGGTGTGATTGTTTCCATTTGCACACTTGTCACATGGGTGTGGTGGGTGTTAATCTTACTTCGAGAAGCCATCTCAGCACGTTGGACAGCGCCTGTCAAGGGAGGCTGCAAGCTGGTGTGGAGACCCACCACCGCTCCTGTGAAGCCGGAGCCCCCTGCCTCCCCTTGCCCCACATCCTTTCCTGGGGTCGTTCTGAGGCTTGAGCCCACGGAGGAAGTGGACCGTGTGTCCTTCCTCGAGCTCGTGGAAGGAAAGATAAGATGTGGATGTAACTACGAGAGATTTGCAGAGTGGTGTTTTTGGACTGCCGCTCTCTGAATACCCCAGGAACTGTGAGGCACAGTCCAAAAACACCGCTCTGCCCACCTCTAAAGGTAGCCAAGAATAAAATCAATAAGTGGGACACGGAGAACAACTTGCTCAGGCTCTCCCCCCCGAAAGCGAGGCCTGTAAACAATGCCAAATTCTCCAAGGAAGAGCAAGGAAAGGCTGGGCTCGGCTGCCTCCGAATGATCCTCCCTTCTCTAGTTTTCTTTCCAGCTTTCTTCTGTGATGTATGTTAAGATTCGCGGGGAATGGTTGTCCGGCTGCCTCCTGAATGCTAATGGGCTTCCCTCTGCCTTCTCGGGGCCTCTCATGCATAAGCATTCTTTCACGATTGCAAAGGGGGAACGTGCAACCGTGCCATTTGTAATTCATGCAGGGTGGTTTTTTTAAAGACTTCTAATACCCAGCCAAATGAAAGGCAAGCCAGATTTACTTTTGGGTATGAACATGAAATGTATTTACAAAATATTCTGAAGACAGCCGTTCAAACAGGGAGGCGGAAGAGAGCGTTGAAGCCGCGAGAGAGGCTGATCAAGGGAAGGGAGCCGGGGGAGCAGAGGTCTCTCCTCTCCACTCGGAGAACAGTGAGCAAGTTATTTTTGATTTCTTGTAACATCTCAATATGTCAAGGGCAGCAGGCACATTGTACATCTTGATTTTTTACAGGCAAAACTAACACAAAAGGAATATTATTAGAGAAGGCTGGGGCATCTTAGTATTCCTTACACCCTCTTCCTCACGTTCCTTCTTGCTTCCTCCACTCAGCATTTCTTGGTGGAATCTGCATCTAGATCGATACGTGGGCAATGCCAATCAGGAATTACAGTAGCTACAGCTTGGGGGACTTCCTTTTGGACTGCAGTTCCCAGAACCATCATAGCCACCCCATCCCCGCAAGTAATTTTCCCAAGCTCTGTCAATAATTAGAGCAGAAGCCGATCCCATTCAGAATAGATCTCTCATATCTAACCTTTCAATCCAGTCCCCCAGGGAGTAGGGCCAAAGGGCAGCCATTGAGAAATCTGCTAAAATGCCCCCAGTTGGATAATGATGCAGAGGTGAAGCCATGTGGGGTGGATCTGAATGCCCCCTTCTCTCTCTCACTCCCCGCATCTGCTATCTTCCCTTGTGGGACCCATGTTGGCTTTTAACATCTATTTTAAAAACAAATGCCACCAGAATATGATAAATGAGAGTCTTAAAACAGCATGAAATAGATGATCCCTTTGAAAAAAAAACACTAAAATGACCTCAGCTGAATCAGATGCACCCTCTTTCGTTGTTCCGACGTTAGCATGTTGGGCTGCTATCTATCACCTTATTTCTACATTGGCGGGTCAGCTCTTCTTTTGATCGCAGAGACGAGGGAAGCTTCTTTCCCCCCCATTTCGGCCTTGAATACTGCTGAAAGGTCATCCCAGCCTGTGGTCAGAGGGAGCTACCTCTGAGTTGAACCTCGCTGTGCGCAGCCCCTGCCCTTCATAAGGAAGATGGCCAGGTCAAGCTACTGCTTTCATCTCTGCCAGCAGGCGAGTGGCTCCCAATTGGATTGCATCTGTTGAACCCACTGAAATCACAGGTTGTTGGCTGACAAATTCAGTTGAGAAGGTCTACTAGCGGATATCTTTTGGCGTTGCTTTTTTTTGTATGGCATTTGTTTGATCCTTTCCAATATTTGTATACTCACTGTTGTTAGCTCTTAAAACGGCTTTGTCATGATGTAAGCCGCCTTTGGTCCTTCTAAGGAGAAAGGTGGGATTAAAATGTTTTAAATGAAGAAAATGAATCTCTGTTCCCTCCATCCTTAGCCATGAGGAGGCCGGCCAGTCCGTCTTGCGCAACCAGTGGGGTGAGCAAGAGCTGCTTGTTGCGACAGGTGTGGCGCCAAGGAGACTCTTAAGGAACAGTAAACCTTCCCTCTGCAGGAGGAGCTGATCTTATTTATTGGCCTGACCTTGCACACAGTTCCCGCACCCTGTTTGGACTGGAGGATATGACTACTCTTTGAAGGAACTGAGGGGGGAGTGAGAGAGAGAGAGAGAGAGAGAAATAATGGTGGACAATGCAGGGGTGTGTGTGGGCTTCATCAGTTCACCTAAGTGGACCTTTGGTTCATTAAAAACAATCAAGTTGCTACTGGCCGAGGTGCATCCAGGAAAAGAGATCATTGCACAACAAAACCCAAATTACACAAAGCGCTCCTCAAGCGCCCGTCTCAAGGCAAACAACAGGCAGCTGGGACGTTGATCCCTGCTAATCTACTCTGAAAGAAATCAGGGCTTCTGCAATTTCAGACCAACCTTATGTTCACAGATTCCTGAGTTCACTCCTCTTGAGCGTGCCTTTTTCAGCTTTTTTTTGTCCCCGAGGAAGACGATGGGGCACGAGTGGACTGTTGGGGGAACATCCACGGCTGTCATTCTGTGGTGAAGTTTGCAATCCAGTTTTGCCACACAGGGTCTGGTTAAACCGATCCAAGTTGGACCCAAGCAGCTTTTGTGTTATTATCAAGTTAATCTTCTGTACCCTTGTGTAGCAGAACGAAGCTCTTTTTCCTGCTCCGCCCCACCAAAAAAAAAATCCAACAAAAAACAAATAACGGGAACAATTAGGAGTGCATTCTTCCTACTATTTGCAGAGGCTTCCAGGGGATAAACGGTGCTGACGTTTGGTATATAGTTTAAAAACAAAAATAGTGGCATTTTGTCTTCAACGAAAAGGGCAAGTCGGAACAAACGTTTGACCCCAAAAGAAAGGTGAAGCTCAGGAAGACGGGTGGTGGTGTCCTCGGTTGTGGTGCCCTGTTGAAAGATGGTTCCAAAATACTTTTGTTTCTTCTCATTGCAAAACAAAATGGTTTCCTGGGTCAACCCTCTTCCCCGGGGGCAAGCCCCTCTTCCCGGTAAAGGGGAACACTCCCTTTTCGGGCTTCATCATGGAGGACTAGAGACATACATTCACTTATATTTCACTCAACTGCACACAGCAGACAGTATTCCTATCTTTCCATGTTTGTAATTTTAAAAATTTAAAAAGCAAAATACTAACGCATTGTCCAACCGAGCAAGCACAAGTCTCTGATTTTAAAAGTAAGAAACATGCGGCTGCCCATCCACAGCTGGTACCTGGAGAACAGACCAAGAAGGCATGTCTGGGGCGAGAGGCGAGGGGTCCCTTCATAGCATCTTAGGACCCTTTTTGTCTTTCTTTTTTTTCCCTTTCCTTTTTTGTTTAAAGGAAGATTTCAGTGCATTTTGTTATGGAGGACTAGAGACATACATTCACTTATATTTCACTCAACTGCACACAGCAGACAGTATTCCTATCTTTCCATGTTTGTAATTTTAAAAATTTAAAAAGCAAAATACTAACGCATTGTCAAACCGAGCAAGCACAAGTCTCTGATTTTAAAAGTTTGCAATTTTTCTTTTAAAAAAAATTGCAGAGGTGCAACTTTAGAAATGCTTGGTATAATTTTTAAAATAGAAATTCAGTGCACGAGACCAGAGTGAGGAAGGAGACAACGTCAAGGTGGCTGACCTACGTGCCGACACAGGCTTCTTTCTGGTTGCTGGCTATTCATGGGGGTCTTGAAGGCCACTGTTCTCTTCAGCCCCACCTGCACCCCCGGCCTGGGCTGTGTTTCAAAGGTGCCTTAAAAATGGATCATGCTCTGTAAAGTATGGGATATAGGGCCAACCTAGCAGAAATAATTTTTAAAATAGGTACCACCACTCATAGGTGGGGGGCCTTGGAAGGCAGTTAGCCTTTGGGATCTAGAAATGCCTTATCTTGCATTCCAAGGTGATAATAATCTTAGCAACCCCCCATGGCCCAGTCTGAGCTGTAATGGCTATGGTGTCATAACCATGATACCTTTCTCCCTGCCCTGGGGACAATGGGGAAAGAAATAAGAATAATTACAAATGTAAATTCCTTGGTGTCAGAGCTTCTAATAATACTAAATGGAGAATATTTTCCCCCCGTTGATGCAATTCACCTCAAGGCAATGATTGCTGTTTTGAATTATTATTATAATAATTATTATAGAATTTAATGCTTCTCACCCACTTGGAGGTGACATTCTTTTTGGGTTTCTTTCTTCCCCTACTATATTTAAATGCACTTTTATATGACCAGTTGCACATCAAATGACCATTTGTTCAAAGTGGATATTTGTAGCTTTAGAGTTTGCTTTCATATTTTAAGTTTTAAAATCATGGAACACTACCTTTAAAACAAACAACCTAGTTTTATTCTGCTCCCTGCCTTTTCTCTCTCTCTCTCTTTTCCCTTGCAAAGGGCTGTATGCAAATTTATAAACAAGCAAACAAACAATAAAACAGAATAATTTGGGGGGCCAAAAATCCAGCAACCCCGTGGGTTGCCTATGCAATTATTTGTTTGTATCTTTATGGGGGTAGTGCCTGTAATGAACATTTGATTCTGAATTTAATTAAAACTTTTTGTGTGGGTTTCCCCCTCTTCCCCGACAGAATGCTGCTGCCTATTTGCAAGGTTAATGCGGTGGTTTTCTATAATAAGACGATGTGAGATTTCCAGCTTGGAGCAACAGAGTAAGCCCACTGAGATGAAAATTACAGAGATAAAACGGTGAGTTTGTATTTTTAAAATGACATTTTAGTAACCACTGTAAATGCATTGCTAGTCATGCAATGCCTAGGCTCCGGCTAGTTGGTGTGATCTTGAAATGTTTGCTTTTTTTCCTCAGTCAATAAATTCTTGATTAAATAGACAGATGTAAATAGAGGAAACTTCTCCTGGAGGCCATAAATATGTGCATTTTGGTACATAACTACATGTTATTAACAAGTGACTGCTGTATCAGTAATGTATGGGCTTCTAATATGGCTGTCGAACGAAGATTTGAATTCTTTACATTACATCTCATAAGTCATTTTCTGAAACGTTAATGTAAACATTACTGTAGCTCTCCAAGAAAGGAACCTCTCTCAATCTCCCTCTTATGGCGAAATAACAGCCAGAGGATTGGTGGGTGAAGTCCTGTTTGAAAACATTTTAAACTACACAACATTTATATTTAGATGCTGGACGATTTGAATTCACTGGGAGCAATATGTCTAAAATTATCTGTTGGGTTGGCTGGATACCTTTGCCCACCTTGCATGAAAATTCTTTTCGGACAAGCGACTTTTCAATATCTCTTGTCAAAACACAGAATGAGGGACCTTTGCTCAAGGCAGCAGAGTTGGGGGAGAGATGGTTTCCATAAAATATCCATCATATTTCATTAGGCTGCTTTAATTTTTATACTCTAAACTTTTTGTTCCAAACTGCCTTCTGCACCCAAACCAGATCTTCTAAGATTATATAAAATGAAGCCCAAATACTGTAGGTCTCTTTCCGGCTGCTTATGTGGCTTGAAGACTGCAGAACCCCTAATGCTGTGTGATTTGGAGCAACTCAGGCTGATGCGGCTATGTAAAAAATGAAAAGGGATGTCTATAAATACCAACTGGCCAAACAGCTGTCACCAACACAAGCCTTGTGCTTTTAAAACTTAATTTGGAGTATCTGTCTCTGTCCTTAACATTATCTGCATGTTTGGAAGGTGGCCAGAGGTCAAGAACTAGCAAGACGAGGATGGACTAGCTAGATCTTTCTAGCTGCGTTCTAGGTCAGCATTAGGAACTCCTGGTGCTATCAGAAAGGGAGGTAGGGAAAAGAAGAGCCAGACCTTGAGGCTGGAGTGAACAATCCTTCGTGCCAAAGCCCCGAAGCATATTGGCAATGAGGAATAAATACGAGCAATCCCTTGTAATGACACGGGCAATGGGATGGCCGCCTTTCACCAAGCAATTAAGCTATTAATCATCTTTGGTTTTGAACCTTTCTCATGCCTCCACATGCCCGCCTGGTCTTTATTCTTAGCATCTCTTGCGTAATATTTGGACTTTTTAGCTTAGAAGGCTACAACAGAAGTGAACATTCTGGCCTGAGGAGATCTGCCTTATTTCCAAAGCCCATAGCGAGCGAGACTCCCTTGTGGGAGCCAAAAAGTCCTGGCTAGGGAGAAAGAGAATCGAAGGAGGATGAAAAGGTCCACTGGAATAATCCATGACTGGCTTGGTCCGTCTCTTGCATTGTTGATACACATGGCACCAGCCTGCTTGAACTTGAACCAGGATCCCGTTTTACTCTGGGCCTGTCTTTTTCCCCTTCTATATTTTGGTTGTTTAGCAAAGCGGCCTGATTCTATAAATAAAAGCTTTTATTTTAATAATACTTTGGAATAAAGGGGTGTTGGAAACCTAGGAAAGATGTTCTTTTCATCGCTTCTTCAGCCTCAAACCTCATCCTGTAGCGGGATGGGAATCTTTGTTTTGATAGCTTTGCCACATTGTATGTCTGTTCCTAATAAATTCAGCAGTGTATTTTTTAAAAATGAAACCTCTCCTCAGTGGGAGTCTAATTAAGCCAAGGTACAATATTGGTACAGGACTTTAAATCTGGTGAATAGATGGGTTGGGGAAATGGTTTAATTGCAGAGCTAGGACTCACAGGAATGAAAAGCGAAAGGTAAAGGCTGGCTTCCCTGCGCACTCCCCCTCAAAGCCATCTTTTCCTCACCCTGCAGCTGAGTGATAATTTTCTAAAGCCAATGCTGGCGTTTGCCCTGATTCTGGAGGAGGAACTGTGGCGGTCTGTTGGAGAAAAGACGATGAAAGAGTTTTGCGGCATTTAAGTTTTATTTGACCAAAGCTTTCGTGGAGGGCTGCCCGCTTCTTTGGATGCAAAAACCATAACCGCAGGAGAGGGATAAAGACATTTATATGGAACCAATCAGGAACTAAATTATGTTATAGCTATGCTGCAGAACGTGCACATTTATTCCTTTGAAGTTCCTTTGTTACAAGGATGTGGGGAGAAAGAGTTTGTTACAAATAACTAGTTATTTGCAATTGGCTCTGACAACTGTGGTGGCGATTATTTTGTATTAAAATGTGAATGGAACTGACGTGTTGCTCCTCTTAAGTGGCCTCAAGAACTGGACCGTGGGCTGCCAAGGGAGCTATGCTGCCGTCTGTGTCCAAATTCAGCCCTCGAAGGAAGCCCTCCTCTAGCATTATAGAGGCAGTGGTTTGAACGTGCCCATAGGAAATCCTAACACGCACACACACCTACACATACACACAGAGTTCTCTGTGTCCTTCGAATACTTCCTAATCCATGCTTTTGATGGTTGGCGTCTTTATTTCCAAGGAAGGAGAGTTTTGGATGTCATGGAAGCTGACCTATGAGGCACGCCTGTTTCTCATGTTCTGATCTTCCTAGCAGACTTTTTTGTGTGTTGCTTCAGTAATTCTGCCCCTCTGCTACTCGACAGATATCGTTATTAAGACTGACGGGGGAATGAGAGTTCAGATCAGTGTCTCCTCTTTGCTGGAGGCATGCGGTGCAGCTGGTTGACCCAGTCAGAAGAGAGAGGGGGAGAGGGAGAGAGGGAGAACCGCTCTGACTTTATGGCTGGAAGAGCAGCATTCGTTGCACCTCTGGCAAAAGTATTCTGCGGTCTGTCAGAAAAAGCTCTCCTCCATCCGCTGTGGAGGTGGATACGGTCCCATCCCTCATCAGCAGCGTGGTGCAGAGGTGCCTGGTTTGTGCATGTGTGTGCACACATGTGTAAGCGTTTGTTACATGTAGGTGTGTATGGGATGTTGAAGTACTAAAGCAACACAGGTCCCTTCAGGAATCAGATTAGCACCTGGTGATCTTCTTTCTGGAACAAAACTTGAAAGTAACTAGTTATGCAATGAAATTACGTCTAACCAGTTACTTGAAGGGGTTAGAATACAGCAAAGTTACATTTCAAATCAATGTAACTAGCTCCAAAGTTACTTTTTAGTGTAAAGAGAAATGTTTCTTTTGAAAGTGACTTTTAAAGGATTTTAAAAAAGCATTTTAAAAGAATGTTTGACAGGGCCCCCCCCCCCCGAGTTCAGGAAACCTTTTTGCATCAGAAGGAAAGATTGGCTCTAAACTTCATCAAGTCTGCTTCCCCCCCCCTCTATTTTTAAAGTTGCTCTTAGTTCTTTTTTCCAAATATATTTTACCATGTATCAAAATAGCAGAATTGTAAGCTGCCTTGTCATCAAGTTTGCCTTCTCTCTCTCTCAGTCTCTAGCATCCATTTTGTAACAGAGCATTGAGCGCTACAAGGATCACAACCACAGTTAAAGTCACACTTGGCAATTTCGAAACAGTCTATTCAACAGTGGTTTTTGGTTTTGGAAAAAACTCAGCAACTGATTTTGATATATTTTGTGAGCAACGCTGTCCTATTTTGGTTCCTTGCTTTCAATCAAAGCAAAATATCTTGGCGTTCTGCAACAGCTTAAATGCTTGGCAGTCTGGAAAAAAGAGTTACCCTCCACCAGAGGTTTACCGGTTAGACGCTTGGGAAATTCACTTGAAAAACTGGACATTCATCGGGGTGAGTTGAAGGGCAAGGTGCTCAACGAAGTTCAACGAAGCGGGCTTTCAACGAAGCAGCTTGAGTCGTTGAGACTAGAATTCAAACATCCATCGCAGGATTGACCTTTAGGAAACCCCCCTCCCATTCTGCCCTCACTTTTGCCCAGGAAATCAAACTAAAAGTCACCATGAGGTCAGTTGTGGGCAGAGAGAAAGGAAAGCAAGCCGGTCTGTTGTAACTGCGCTGCTGCTGGATGTTTGCAGTAGAACTCCGGGCAATGAGCCGGCTCCGAGAAGCTTTGGACTAACTGGCGGATGTTCCCACCAGGGCTGTCCTGTAAATCCCTCCTCAGCATGGGCCTCAAATGGTCAGCAGAGAGCATCCCATTAGGGGTGACAGGGAGCGAGAACAGACCCCGCCAACATAACCGGAGGACTCTCGGACTCCGTGAAGGACCGGCGGGAAGTGAAAGGAACGCCCCCCAAAGGAACTGCCAAGCGCTCTGTTGGTTTCCCTCGTCTTGGCTCAGATAGATCCTGTCACTGTCTAAGCTCCCTTGGGTGTCATCCATGGAGTCAAGGGCGGAGGCCGTCAGGGCCACTGAGGCTTGGAACCCCTTGGAAAGCTCGCGGTGCCTTTCCAGTGACGTGTCTTTGGTGTGCATTATCGGTTGTTCTTTTAACTTGCTGTTACAGCTAGGGAGTTAATAATCCTTTTAATTGTGTTGTGTAGTTCCCACTTTTTTTAAAAAAAAATACTGGCTTCCTGGACTACTTTGAATGACGAGCCGACATCCTTTTTATTATCTTTTTCTTCTATTGCTGTTCTTGTTTTATAGGGACCTGTTACTTTTGCTGGATTTTAACGTGTGATTGTAAAATGTGCTTAGCTTCAGAAAGGCAGCTTTAAATAAGGAAATAAACAAATATATTTTGTGTATTGAGTGTGTATATAAACAAAGCTTGGGAAAAACACCCACTAAGTCGTAAACCATGTTGGGTGGGGATTATGTGTGTTGTAGTCCATGCTCTGGTATATACATCCTTCCTTGTATTTATTGAGATATATTGAGATTGAGGCATTGACCTGAACTTTCTGCTCCAATGTCCTTACCTCTTGTGTGTGTTGGGCATTTCTATTCCTCATTACAAAGGGT